CTTCAAAAAAAATTGTAGCAGTCTGACGACCTTTACACATGTCAGGTGGCACTATCATCTGTGTTCTTTGCTTGAAAGACCACTTTCTTCTGTAGATTTATTATTGAGGAAGCTTGTCATAAAATTTCTTGTGAAATTCCTTCTTGTTGATTTTCATCTTCTTACTCGCAACTTTTTTCGGATTAAATTCTGGCAATTCGTCATCTTCCAAAGATTTCAAATCAAACGGTGATACTGGGTTGAAAGCGCTTCCATGAGCATATGAATATGGTGACGTACCCTGCAATAATCAAACGACGAAGTTTCATTTGGACAAGCTTGATACTCACATATTCGAATGCTCCAGATAAGGGAAAACGAACGCCACCACCAGCATTTCCAGACGGTACGGGAAAGTCAATGCCACCAACGAAGAAAAAATCATCACCTAAAATTAACGTCATCGGGCGAAATGAGTTCTTAGAATCAGAAGCGGCGCGAATCAAGTAAAATAATGACTGCAGAAGTAACTATTTGTAGTTGCAGAATTTCACTTGTAAATAACTGGAACATTATTCAATGAGGTCCCTCCCCGGCATAATCCTTTCAGCTTTCATGGGGGAAATTTTTCCAACCTATTTTTTCAAATTTTTGCACCCATCCGTTGATGTGTTAATGTGTTACGTGGATGTAAAAAAATTTTGAAATTTAGTTTGAGGGAAAAATCTTGAAAATTATTTTGCACTTACCTTGTTCAACCTCTGTTGCTACTCCTGTGTGGTGTACAAATGGGTTACAATAAGGTGGTTTGCATTTGCTTGGCTCGTATCCATAAGGTATTCTTCCAACATCCACTTCCTTGGCCTTCCCTAGAATTTTGTTACTGGAACATAGAAATCAACCATACATGCAATATGTTCACTTCTAGCCTCCCTGAACTCAGGATTTTGCGCCAATAGCGCTAACGTCTCCGGTTTGATGTTCAGCGGATTTTTTGGAGCTGTTTGATAACCCGTCTTAATGTCGATGTTAATATGGCCAGCATAGAGATTCCCATCCATGTCCCAGTTACCCCAACCGGGTACAGGAATGTTCACGTCGCCAGCAAGTGACTGGAATTGGAGACATACATGCTGTAGACAAGGATAAAAGACGTACCACTTTATTCGCGGGATTAAGTTCCATTCCGGTGTTGAATTGCTCAGTGAATGGAAAAAGTGGGAATTTGTCGGCAGTGACCAGAGCAGGAAACTGCGCAAAAGGCCCTCGTATAGGTATGACAAGAGGTTCGCGATCAGTAGTTTCTTGGCTTAGAGCTCCTAGAAATTATT